AAGCTCGATGCTAAAACAATCTCCGACAGATTTATGAATTCACCGAAACATTTCTGGAAATAAATTTAAATAATTAAACAAAAAGGTGTTTCTTACTTACCCTGAAGAGTGTATCGATTTCTAAGTCGGAAAGACTTCGTAATCTGTAGAGGACATTGTAATAATTTACTCCTGGCAACGCAAACTCAAACTCATCTCTCTGTGTCATGTCAAACCCAATTCCTATTACAAAATTGACTGTAGTATTAATGCGGTCTTCGTTGTTGACAACAAATTGGAAGATATGCTCAAACTCCTCGTTTGTTAAATCACCTGAAAGAAAAATTGGTTATGTCTCACATTTTAACATACATTATACTCAAGTATGTTTTATGAACCCCCTCCCCCCCCACAGTCTAAATAACTCAAATGCGTTCTTGTTTTGAAAGGATTAGGTTTATTTGATATTTTTTTTTATTTCCAATAAACTATGTTAGAACTGTGCTCGATTGTAAGAAATTTCGTACACCAGTTTGCGTAGAAGACTGATGAGAAATGTGACAACTGCCTGGACGTCGGATTTCGTACACCAGCTTGTGGAGTAGACTGATGAGAAATGTGACAATTTACTGGACGTCGGATTTCGTACACCAGCTTGCGGAGAAGACTGGTGAGAAATGTGACAACTGCCTGGACGTCGGATTTCGTACACCAGCTTGTGGAGAAGACTGATGAGAAATGTGACAACTGCCTGGACGTCGGATTTCGTACACCAGCTTGTGGAGAATACTGATGAGAAATGTGACAACTAACTGGACGTCGGATTTCGTACACCAGTTTGCGGAGAAGACTGATGAGAAATGTGACAACTGCCTGGACGTCGGATTTCGTACACCAGCTTGTGGAGAAGACTGATGAGAAATGTGACAATTTACTGGACGTCGGATTTCGTACACCAGCTTGCGGAGAAGACTGGTGAGAAATGTGACAACTAACTGGTCGTCGGATTTCGTACACCAGCTTGCGGAGAAGACTAGTGTGAAATGTGACAACTAACTGGACGTCGGAACAAAAAATTGTCACTTCATTTCTCACACATATTAACGGGGTTCAAATCCATAGATTAAACAAATAAGGATCAAACTGTTGCAACTTTTCAAGCAATAAATGATTTGCATGGAAAATCGTGCCAAATCCTATCATTTCAATGTAAATCTTATACAAAATGCACTGATGCCGAGAACAACGATGATATAACAACTTGGATGCAATTAACAATGCTTCTGCGTTTAAATCATCGGAAAATGCGACACGTCAATAAAAATAACCGATTAATCTAAATAAATAATCCGACAACTTTAAATCACTAAAGTAACATCAAAGTAACGAGATAATCCTAGCTAACGTAGCCTCGTCTCAATGAAGCAGCATAGTAATAAGCCTCGTCAAAAATTATCGCACCATTATCGTTGGCGCATAATAACTACTAGTAGTAGAGAGAAGTATTCACCCTCAGTTTAATGACGACCCCTGTGGAAAATGATATCGTTCAATATACACCCCGACACGTAGAATCGCATTGGCTAAGCGTTGCGATGAAAAAGTGTATTTGCATAATAATACTGTTGACTGGGGAATCCCCTTTGAAGCCTTGCGCATGACCGTCCTTGGGTTTATAAAGACTTGAGTATCGTATCGTAGACAACAAAATCCTATAAATATGCAGAAAGCATTTGGATTGACAATTTCGAAAAAACACGTTATCGTGTAGACTGTGTTTGTTTTAAAGTAACGATAAATGAGTAACGTGAATAACAACGGTAATAGCATATCTACTGTACTTGCTGTCAACAAAAAAATACACCATTGTAATAAATACATTATTAAATATAAATACGTATTTTGTTTTTTCCTAATTATTGTTTCCATTATTTTTAAAATGGTAACTGTTTCTTTACATTTTAGTATATCTGTGAAGTAACATATTTTTTTCGGAAGATAATTTAGAGAACATAGGAGCACATTCTCACGAAATCTAAATACGATTTGGCAAAAGCAATCTAAACGACGACAAATATTATTATAACCAACTTGGGATGGTTGTAGTTATGTTTGATAATCATGAATGACATTGAAGAAGTAATTACACCGTGTATCATGCGGAAACAAAAACGTCATACGAAAAAAACAAACACATGTTTTAACAAAGTATATATGACAGTACATATTATAGCAAATGCAAAGTTTTTTTTAATTTTCTTTTTTAAAAAAAAA